TCTCTCTCTCTCTCTCTCTCTCTCTCTCTCTCTCTCTCTCTCTCTCTCTCTCTCTCTCTCTCTCTCTCTCTCTCTGTGTCTCTCTCTCTATCTTTCTCGCGCGCGCGCACGCGCCCTGAAAAGAAAAGCCAGTTGAAACAGCATTCACTTCATGACAACATCCAGCTGTTCCTTACGGACCAGCCATCTACACAGGACTAAGTTCAGGGGTCAGGACCAGGTTCCCTGATTGCCAGAGGACACCAATACGAGGGAGGTTAGAGGCGTAAGCAGAAAGGAGGTGCGGTGCACTCCTTTTTTGTTTTTCTTGATTCATGCATGTCATCCTTGCACAGGGGCCATGCTAATCTTCTCTGTATCGTTCCAATTTTGCTGAAGTCCCAAAGGACGTGCATTTTGCCGAAGTCCGTGCACTCCTTTTCCCCTAATACAGAGTAAGGACTACGCTAACTTGGCATAAGAAGACGAAGTGATCAGCGGCAAGGACAGCGCCACAACGAGCAACGACGCACTGGGAACAAGATGCGCCGCACCAGCCAACAGCACCACAGACAGGCAAAACACATCAGGAAAAGAATGCGTAATGAAAAGGATGTCAATGACCCAAAGCACCTGGAGCAGAATGACAAATACGCCATGAATACAAAGAGGAACGTACAAAGGGGATGGTCGAGGGGGTCATATAGAGGAGCGGAAAGAATTACACAAACAGCTGGTAAAATATACGTAAACCTGCAGAGGAGGAGAACAACTTTTCTTTTTTCTTTTTTTTTCTAAGAAAAAAACAGGTCCTTACGGGTCGGACTTCCATGTCCATTCTGGGGAGCGACAATCGGGTTCCACGCTTCCTTCCGTCCGGCCGAAGGACCCCTGACCAGCATTGATTTCTCCAACTCTGTAGAGAATCGACTGTCATCTTGGATTATCTTTGGCTTTCCTCACAGGTTCATCCATCCCCAACAATCTATAACAGACAGCAGGGGAAACATAGCCCCAAGTTCTGGACTGCTAGACTAGGATACTACACAAACACCCACAGGAGGAGGAGGAGGAGGAGGAGGAGGAGGAGTAGAACTACAAAGATAGCAGGAGAAACACAACTCCAAGTACTGGACTGCTCACTCTACGTTTCTCTACTCTACACTACGATGCTCTTCTCTACTCTACACTACGATACTCTTCTCTACTCTACACTATGATACTCTTCTCTACTCTACACTAGGATAGTGCGTGTGATCATGGCGGGCTGCTTTACTGGACCAACCACAGTTCCCAAGCATCGGAGAGGATCAACTGCATTCATCCATCCCCAACTATCTATAACAGACAGCAGAGGAAACATAGCCCCAAGTGCTGGACTGCTAGACTACCCACAGACCGCCGTATATGGGAAAGGAGGAAAATACACAAACACCCACAGGAGGAGGAGGAGGAGGAGGAGGAGTACAACTACAACAGATAGCAGGAGAGAAACACAGCTCCAAGTACGGGACTGCTGCTAGACCAACCACGGCCCCAAATGAAACGGTTTCACTCAGTTGACCTGACTTTGCAGACACAGAGATTCGATCCCGAGAACTGTGCCCTAACCCTGTACATTGAACCTGTGTGCTGAGTGAGATTCGATCCCTAGACCTGTCCTATACCTGTACATAGACCCAGTGACGTGAGTAGGATTCAATCCATAGACCTGCCCTACGTCCTAGGCTAGTCTGTAGGTCGGACAGTAGGACTTGATCCCTAGGTCTGTAGATTAGGAGTTAGGTCTGTCACCGTTAGGCTTAGGAAGGCCTGTTCTAGAAATCTCTATGTGAGTCTACTGAGGCCTAGAGTCTGTCTGTAAGTCTGTAGGCTCTGGAAGGTCGTAGGTCCCTGTAGGCCAGTCCAGTCAGCAAGTACCAGGAGTAGGGACTGCACATGGGGAAGGTTCTGGAGCACACTGTGGGTTTCACACGTTTTGGCCCAGAAGGCCAAACGTCTGGAAACTTCCCTGGGCCACACGTTTTGGCCCAGGCCCACACGTTTTGAGGCAGGCCTGGGTACGTCCAAAGAAGTATAAATAAAGAGGCAGCGTCCAGTCATTCATTCATTCGCCTGTGAGCCATGCGGAAGAGATGCCTTGGTATCTTGTGCGTGGAGGTCTGCAGGTGCCCGGAGAGGAAGTGGGCTGTGAAGAAGACAGCGGCCATAGCGAACCAGCGAGGGAGACACCGGCGGCCATACCTAGCAGGAGGAAGACGAGGGCGGCCATAGCCGCCCAGCTGTTGGTGAAGACGAGTGTACAGAGTGTGTGAGGATGTGATCCTCGTACGTGTGTGCATGCGAGAGTGTGGGAAGTGAGGCTGGTGGTAGAGACGGTGTTCGACGGCCATAGCCGCAAGTTGTACAGCTGGTTCAGATTGAGTTTGATACAAGTTTATTGTTGTTTCTGAGTTGGAAGAGTTTGATTTTGCCATCGGTTCTCAAGTTTGCATGTTGAAAGCAAGTCCAGAGTCGAGTCTGATTGCATCGATATCGGAGCTGGTACCCGTTGTCCACGCCGGCGGAACTGCAGCAAGCGAGGAAGAAGGAAGTTGCCGCCATAGCCGGAGCTCGGCAGAGAGAGACAGCAACAGAGAGGAAGAGAGAGAGAGCAGGGGGACGGCAGCCATAGCTGCCAAGCTCGGGAAAGAAGACGACCAGCAAGAAGAAGAGAAAGATGCAGAGAAAAGGAAGAAGAAAGTGACGAAGAGGGAGACAAAGTCAGCCATAGCCGAGGTGAAGAAGACGGAGGTGAAGAAGACGGAGGTGAAGAAGACGGAGGTTTTGACGAAGAAAAAGATCCACCATAGCCGGAAGGTTGAAGGGTTGACCAGGAGAGTTGACCAACGTTGACCAGGAGTTGACCATGGGCGTTGACCAGGTGTTGACCAACGTTGACTGAGAGTTGACCAAGGATGTCCGTCATAGCCAGAGCTCGGCAGAGAGAGACAGCAAGAGAGAGGAAGAGAGAGAGAGAGCAGGGGGACGGCAGCCATAGCTGCCAAGCTCACGAAAGAAGACGACGAGCAACAAGAAGAGAAAGACGCAGAGAAAAGGAAGAAGAAAGTGACGAAGAGGGAGACAAAGTCAGCCATAGCCGAGGTGAAGAAGACGAAGGTTTTGACGAAGAAGAAGATCCACCATAGCCGGAAGGTTGAAGGGTTGACCAGGAGAGTTGACCAACGTTGACCGGGAGTTGACCACGGGCATTGACCGGCTGTTGACCAACATTGACTGAGAGTTGACCAAGGATGTTGACTGGACATTGACCAAAGTTGACCAGGGCGTTGACCAGGAGCGTTGACCGAGGAGTTGACCAAGACCGTTGACCGGAGCATCGACCCAGCTGGAGCGAGAAGATTACCAGTACCATCTCTTCATGCCCTGGCCTACCCCTTACCCCGTGGATGTGCACCTTCACCTTGGTACCTGCTGACGTTAAGTCTGTCAAAGTCAGTCAGTCCTATCTCCCTGTCACTTCTGTCTAGGTCAGTAGAATTCTGTGTACGTGGTCATAGAACCGTAAGTCCAACCCGAGTAGTGCATAGAAGTCCCCTAGACACGAGATACCCTGGTCGGTCTACGTGTTGAGGCGTGGAATCGTTGTTGATTGTGCACTTACACCATGGTGACCACCAGAACTGGGTTTAGTACCACCCCCTACAACAAGGAGCAAGAAGAGAGAGCTGCCGCCCTTCTGCGTGAAAGGACGGAGAAGATGGAGAAAAGGGAGTTAATCAAGCAGGCCAAGATGCTGGCCCTTGGCCCTGCTGGAGGAACAAGAGGAAGAGAAGAAGCAGATGGAGGAGGAGCTGAAGAGGGAGCAGGAGGAGAAGATGGCGGCTATACGAGAGGGGGTGGAGAAAGAAGAAGAAGAAGGGGAAGAGATGGTAGAGGAAGAAGAGCCGTTGGAGAGAAGGAGAGGGGAAGCTAGCACAAGCAAAGAAATTGAGATTGCAAGGATTGCACAGGAGTGGGCCGCACA